TCTGAACATCACACAGGTGGCACTGCCCACACAGCCTCTAGAAAAGGTCACAGTGGTCTCTTCTGGCTGACTCCTGGACACTACTTTGGAGCAAGACAGAAGTGCAGCTGGTGGACACCTGTCACCAACTGTTTCCTCATCTCTATGAGACTGGAATGAGTTCCCTCTTCCTTTTGGCGATCTTTGTAGGCTCTAAGGGAGTGTTCCGAATAACCGCACTCTGTGTGTGTATGTCTGGAGAGGGCGTGAAGAGACTGAGACAGGGTCAGGCCACACCCCACTTGCCAGAGTGTGCCCTGCTACAGGTGTCTGTGCTCAGTGAGCCCCTCTCACCATGTCCCTTCACTGGGACTAAGGAACCTCTATGGACTTTCTCTGTCCTTTTTATCCCCTTTTGCTATATATGCAACTTTACTGAGGTATAAAGGACAAGTGTACAATTTGGAATTCCTGGAACACTATTATACCCATGAAACTATTGCCATTATCAAAATGGTGAACATGTCCATTGCCTCTACAGATTCCCTTGTGTCCTGTGAGAAACCTTCCCTCCTGCCCCACCCCACCCAGCCACCAGGCTATTATTGAGCTGTTCTCTGTTATTGTAGATGAGTTTGTGTTTTCCAGAAAATATATAAATCTGGGCATCATTTACTATTCATGTTAAATAACATAAGAATGCTATTGGGCACATTCAGTATTAATATACAGGAGAGTCCTGTACCCAAGACTAAAGCCCCACACAGAGAAAGTCATCAATATACTATATTGACTGGTATTCTCTCTGAAGTGATCTTGAACCATTTATTGGAAAATGGGTTAGGAACACAGACCATGGCAGCACTCTTCCATCCCGCCCTGTCCTTACCTGCATTTCCATCCTCCTGACCACTGTTCCCTCTCCACCCCTCTCATCCTGCTTCCTCCTCTGTGACTGGGTCTCTCCCAACTCCCTCCTTCTCCCTCATTATTGTCTGTGAGACCATCCCCTTCAGGATACACAGATTTTTGCAGCACTTTGCAGCCGGGAGCTTCCAATGCGACTGTCCTTGACACCAGTGTCTGACCTGTCCCTCATAATCCCGTTCTATTTCCATTTTCGTATTCATCTCTAACTGATGTCAACCTCTATGGTACTTGCAGTGCTCAAGGTTCTTGCTTGGTTGGTTGATTGATTTTTTTTCCTTGTGATTCTTCCTAGTGTCAGTTTTAAAATTGTTCCATAAAGAGAAAAGTTGACAGCTCACCCAGCAGACAACTTGGGTGGCATTGCAGAAAATATTCCTCCCCAGCAGAAGACTGGCTAAGGCAGGATGCTCAGGTCCTGGATTACTGCCTCCCGCTCCCTCACCTGCCACTAGTGAGCTCTGCGACTTTGGGTGAAACACCTGACTTCTCCCTGTGCCACCATTATCATCTGATAGTGGGGAAAATATTCACCATAGACTGGATTCTGTTCCATTCTCATGACAGAAACATGGGAGCATAGATTATTGCTCTCTCAACAGACAGACAGTTAAATTGACCAAATTCAAACTCCACATTCTGAAGTCTTAGCCCAGTTAGTTTAGGCTCCCATGAGTGGCAGCCACACACACGTTCAGGCGTCAGTCAGAGACGTGGATAAGAGTCACACCTAAAAATTATGGTCCCCCTTTTAGCCTCTTTTCCCACCACTTTTCCCGCTGCAACCTCTGCACTCGTCCTCCACTCTTTCCTTTGGTTCCTTTGACCAATGGGCTATGGGGATCCATTTGGGCTTTAGTCATTTTGAGGGGTGCCAACCACAGCTGCCCTCAGAGTTTTTTAAAAAGTGGAGAACTCACCCTTCTCTCCCCAGTGCCGATCTCCCTCCAGACCTGCCTGCTTCTGCTCACTCACTGGTGAACTCTGGTGAACTCTATAGATAGTTGTGGTTTATATTTTGTCCACAGAGTCTCTGGTCATTATTTGCGGGAAAATTGTTCAATTGGATTTTCTCAGCTGCACCAGAAGCAGAAACAGTGCTTTATCACAGGGTTTGACTGGGAAAGCTTTTTTCTTAACATTTACATTGTTAACTTTATCAATATTTTATTGGCTTTTTATTTTGAGTCAGAAAGCCTTTTCCCATGTTCAGGTCATAGATGAATTC